GCATTCAAGAGACACATGCATGTACAAGTAAAAGGAAAAACTATGTAAAAACATTAAAATTTAAATTATGAGTTAAAATATCTAATTTATTGGCACTAACCTGGAAAAATAAATATGGAAGTCAATTAAGATATAAAACAGGAGATAAAATTCTCCTTTTTTTATTTAATTGGTGCATTTTAAGTGTATTTATTTAATGGTTCATATAATTCTGCTTTTATTTCTAATTATATTAGTTTTGGTCCTCCGTAATACAGAAGTCTGATAATCATTTAGTCATTCATATCAGGTGTGTTGGAGCAGAGAAACAAGTAAAACATGCAGGACTGAGGCCCTCGAGGACCAGGATTGCCCATGCCTGGGCTAGTGACTAGAATAGAATAGAAACAGCCTTTATTGTCCCGCGCAGGGAAATTCAGGAGCATGTCTAAACTGCTCACCTACTTAATTAGACAAACTTTTTTGAATAAAGAAAACTCTCAACAAAAACGACTGACGTACAAAACCTATAAGCAACAAGCACTGACAGGTGTTCCATAGAATTTACTGTTCAACATGATGTCAAGCATAAATATTAAATAAAGCATTACTGTGAAGCAGACAGCCTTAGTTACCACCTGAATTAGCAGCTGTTTGCCCTTGTCTATTGGTCGACAGAAACACCCATGCTTGAGAAACGCCTACTTTGAGTCTGCAGAACCCCTTCTCGATGATTGTGCAATAGTCTTAATTTTGGCCCTCATACCATGCCATATGTTTCAATCTATAAACTCACTTCTGCAGCTATCCCATCACAAATCACCTTGTCTCTCTTCCATTAGATCCCTGCTCACTACAGTTCACTGCGTCTACCTTGACCTCATTTATCAACCTGTCTATCACCACTGTAAAGCTGGTCCCTGATGTAATCCCACCCCCACTTTGAACCCATTTGCACATCTCACCAAAGCCTCTCTCTCCTTGTTTCTTGCCCTACATTCACTTCGCCACCGCTCCTGACTTCCTAAAACACAACTCCTCTCTCTTGGCACCATAGATCCTCTGGACTTCTACAGGATTACATTTTAACAAGATCTACATGACTTCATTATCATATATCTACAGTGGTTTGCAAAASTATTCATACCCCTTGAACTTTTCCATATTTTGTCACATTACAACCACAAACATAAATATATTTCACTGGAATTTAATGTGAAAGACCAACACAAAGTGGTATACAATTGTGAAGTGGAAGCAAAATTTTACATGAATCAAAACATTTTTTACAAATAAAAAACTGAAAAGTGCGATGTGCAAAATTATTCAGCCCCCCTGAGTCAATTCTTTGTGGAGCCACCTTTTGCTGCAATTACAGCTGCAAGTCTTTTAGGGTATGTCTCCACCAGCTTTGCACATCTAGTGACTGCAATTCTTGCCCATTCCTCCTTGCAAAACAGCTCAAGCTCAGTCAGATTGGATGGAGAGCGTTTGTGAACAGCAGTTTTGAGATCTTGCCACAAATTCTCAATTGGGTTTAGGTCTGGACTTTGACTGGGCCATTCTAACACATGAATATTCTTTTTTTTAAACCACTCCATTGTAGCTTTGGCTTTATGTTTAGGGTCGTTGTCCTGCTGGAAGGTGAACCTCCGCCCCAGTCTCAAATCTTTTGCTGACTCCAACAGGTTTTCTTCCAAGATTGCCCTGTATTTGGCTCCATCCATCTTCCCATCAACTTTGACCAACTTCCCGGTCCCTGCTGAAGAGAAGCACCCCCAGAGCATGATGCTGCCACCACCATATTTGACAGTGGGGATGGTGTTTTCAGAGTGATGTGCAGTGTTCTTTCTCCGCCACACATAGCGTTTTGCATTGTGGCCAAAAAGTTCAATTTTGGTCTCGTCTGACCAAAGCACCTTCTTCCACATGTTTGCTGTGTCCTCAACATGGCTTCTGGCAAACTGCAAACGGGACTTCTTATGGTTTTCTTTTAACAATGGCTTTCTCCTTGCCACTCTTCCATAAAGACCACATTTGTGTAGTGCACGACTAATTGTTGTCCTGTGGACAGTTTCCCCCACCTGAGCTGTGGCTCTCTGTATTTCATCCAGAGTCACCATGGGCCTCTTGGCTGCCTCTCTGATCAGTGATCTCCTTGTTCGGCCTGTAAGTTTAGGTGGACGGCCTTGTTTACTGTGCAGGTTTACTGTGGTGCCATACTCTTTCCATTTCCGGATGATGGATTGAACAGTGCTCCGTGAGATGTTCAAAGCTTGGGAAATCTTTTTATAACCTAAGCCTGCTTTAAACTTCTCCAAAACCATATTCCTAACCTGTCTGGTGTGTTCTTTGGACTTCATGATGCTGTTTGCTCCCCAATATTCTCTTAACCAACATCTGAGGCCGTCACGGAGCAGCTGTATTTGTACTGAGATTAGATTACACACAGGTGGACCCTTTTGAGTCATTAGCAGTCATCAGGCAACTTCTGAATGCAATTGGTTGCACTCAGGGAAAAGGGGGCTGAATACTTTTGCACGTCGCACTTTTCAGTTTTTTATTTGTAAAAAATGTTTTGATTCATGTAAAATTTTGCTTCCACTTCACAATTGTATACCACTTTGTGTTGGTCTTTCACATTAAATTCCAGTGAAATATATTTATGTTTGTGGTTGTAATGTGACAAAATATGGAAAAGTTCAAGGGGTATGAATACTTTTGCAAACCACTGTATATTCTTAGTGAGAGGGTGTCACCGACACTGCTGAAGTAAATGACTTTGTCTAAAGCAGAGAACACACTTGTGCTTCCTGTGACACATGAAATCAGATGCAGTGTTGAAACAAAACCCTTTGTGACGTTATTCCACAGGGTATGCAATTACAAAATGTAGTTTGTTAGTTCAGCTGACAAAAGGGTGAGTGTTCTGCTAAATGTCAGCCCAGTCAGGTGACCTGCAAAAACCACAATGACTTCCTTTGACACTTTTCTAAGACCATTTTTCTAACGGAGCTTATCAAAAGCTACGCAAGATTGTTTGTGCTCAAACCTGATACAAAAACCACAAACGTCTTCAGGTTTTTAAAACAAATTGTTTATTAGATAAAAAAAAACATTTACAGTGTGTGGAACCAAACCTTTATTATTAGTATCTGGATCACAGTTTCTATAATTACTACAGTCAGTATGAGCTTTACACCACAACACCCAGTGTTGCTACAGTATCTCAGTGATAGTTTTGATCACAAGAACATTTATTAAATTAGAGTTAACTCAAACTGTAAGAGAGTTGGAAAAATAAACTAGCTAACATTTAAGTTCTGGCTTCTTGAAAACTCTGGTAAGAAAAGAAGGTTCAGCTGGTTTTGGAGTTTGGTACATTTTTGTTGAGGCTGACCTGGTTTGACTTGCGCTGCTGAGGTTGAGCATAGAAAGAGAGCACCTGAGAGGACCGGATCTCAGTCCAACTGAACCCGTTAGTATTGCTGGTTAACAATACCAACAGAAAGAAACAATTAGGAAACACTCCTGATCAACGTGCTGAAACATGGAAGCCACTCATTCAACAACAGACAGAAATATTTACATTTACACAACATTTACAGAAGCTTAAAATGAACTTTGGTTATCTAAAACACAGATCTGATCATGTGATTCTCAGTAAACAGTTTTAGAAAAATAAAAAGAGTGCTGATAGTCAGAGGGAAACACATCACACACCATGCAGCTCAGCCCAACACTCTGAAATGTGAGGCTGCCACACCTCATGCATTTATCCTTTCATCAACATTAAGTGTTGTGGGAAGACGTCAGATGGCTGCCAGCAGCTCCGCTGCACAAAACATTACTCATCATTGTCTGAAAGAGACAGAACAGAAGGAAAATCACATTAGGAACGTTCATTCATTGAAAATAGAAATGTCTCCCAAATGTTATGAGAACGGAAAATTCGTTGAAAGAACTATTGTTGCATCAGATGGTTACACCAAACTTTCAGATTAAAACACAAGGTTTTTTGGTACATTGGTCATATTAGCAACATAGCATTTGATCAAACAGGGAATAAAAAGATTAGTGATTTTTAATTAAAGGCCTTGTAATTGTCAAACTGTAAGGAAGGTGTTACCTTTAACGTCAGATGTTAGAACGTAAMCCACTTTTGTTTATGCAGACAGAAAGACCTCATATTGATAAGACACGCTGTCTCTCATTCTCTGTTTAAACCTTAGGGCTGCAATGATCACAACGTATAAAATACAAAACAAAAATTGTACATCTGAATCCAGAATTATCTGTTTAGTGATTAAAAGGTATTTTCCAAATGAACAGGCACAAAAATGCATGCATCCACACACAAACGCAAAAACCCGACCCTTTTTTCTGTTTGTAGCCTTCTGGCTGACGCTGTCAGTAATACATTCAAAAGGACATGTGGCAGAACAGTTTCAAACTTATGAAATGTTGTAAATTGGACAGCAAAAGCTTGATGAACAAACAAATTGTTTAAATGATGCACGGCGTGCACAGACTTTGAGGAGCATTTTGGCACCCTCGTGCCGTGTTCAATGCGTCAACTAACCAGACTTCAGTATCAAATCCGGGAGATGTCCGTAAATCTCAGATAAATCTCAGGCTTTGGTTATCCCATGTGAATGCGCTTTGAGGACACTGCTCAGGCACAGCTGACCACCACTGCTCTGCCCTCCTCCAATGTCAGTGCTGTAGATCCTGGTGGTGTGGATCAGTGAGTCRATGTCTTGCTCACTCTTGGCGTACAGCTTGATGTCATCCATGTAGAGGAGGTGACTGATTGTGGCCCCATTCTTGAGTCGGTATCCGTAGCCAGTCTTGTTGATGATTTGGCTGAGGGGGTTCAGGCCTATGCAGAACAGCAGTGGGGACAGAGCATGGATCTGTTGGAATGCTACTACTCAAGTAACCCTAGCCAGAGGGGCTACATGCAAAGACTGTGGGAGGAGATGCTCTGTCCCCACTGCTGTTCTGCATAGGCCTGAACCCCCTCAGCCAAATCATCAAAAAGACTGGCTACGGACACCGACTCAAGAATGGGGCCACAATCAGTCACCTCCTCTACATGGATGACATCAAGCTGTACGCCAAGAGTGAGCAAGAC